GAAGTACACTGCTGAGGGGAGCAGCGGGCGGGTCAGGAGAGGTCTGCCGCGCCATGTGCCTCTCTCTATTTTAAAGAACAGGTTTATTTGGAAAAGGAGAAGGAAAAAGAGAGGCACCTCTGAAGTCTTATTCCAGTTATTTGGTTATTTGTGTTGTGTTGTGATTTTCCCTCAAGGTTTTGTCTTGATCCATCATTTTGGTTGAATTCTTCTACTTTCTCATTTTTCTTTGATGCTCTGTGATCATTTCTGTGGCTTGAGCTAGTGTTTTCCTTCTCAGTGATGTTAATTGCTTTAGAATTGCAGGCCAAGAGTGCTAGATGGTGTTCTTTATGTTATATTGTTGGAAACATCATCACCAATTAGGATGACTTGAGTTCAAGAACTGTCACAGGATGCTAGTCCAGTCCAAGAACCCAGCCTACATTGTGTGAGCTGGATGTGTGGGGATGCAAATGTTGCTGCAATATGTCAAGAGAATAAGCCCACTCAGTGCTGCAGCTGGCCAAGAGGGATGTTAATCACTGTGTGCTCAATTCTGATCAAGGCAGACCACCTGTGGTTTTCTCCCAAGAACTCTAAACTTCAACTAGCCCTTCAGCTGCAGCTTAGTTCTGATCTCAGCAGGTTTTGCTGCAGAATCTTTACTCAGAGTCTCTGGCCTGAGGAGGAGTAGCCCGTGGGCTTGGGCTTCGGGCAGGTACTACAAGAGGTTACAGATTTTTGTAATAGGTTGTCCAAATGTCTGCTCTGCCCCACCCAGATGGGGGAGGAACTAGTGTTTCTTGAAATTGCCAGGCTGGCTACCAGCAGCTCAAGGTGTTTTACATACATTCCCACTGTCAATGTACTTTTAGAAGGTGTCACTCTTCTGTCTTTCATGGGCTAGGAAGCCAGGGCTTCCTGAAGTCCAGACAGTAGGGATGGGTGCTTTGTGGGATGCCAAATTGGCTGCCAGCAGTACCTTGTCGTTCAGACCCATGCCTACCCTGCCACCTATTTTTCTGATAGTAAGCAAAGTTCTCCTGACTAGATTGGGCTAGGAGCCCAGGGAAGGTAGGGAGGGGTTTTATAGCTGGTAGAGGGCATGACTTGCCCATAGGAAACTTTCCTCCACTCTCTGCACTAGGTACTGAGAATTTGCAGGGTTTCCAAGTCCAACTGCCACATCCAGCTTTGGGGTGGAGGGCTTTGTTTCCAGGAACAAGTGACCCCCAAATCTGATCTTTCTTCACCTATTTTCTGCTCTGACATGGTCCCTGGCAATGTTTGTGTACTTTGTACTCTGGCACTGCTACACCTGGGAACTTTTATAGGGAATGAGGTTTACTAATTTCTATGTGCAAATTTGAACAGTTTGAAGACTGAATTTCATAAAAATTGTTCTAGACCCTGAAGACCCTGTGAAGGTTTCTAGATTCATATAAAATCATAACCCAGGAAATGGATTTCTTTCTTTATTGGCTCAGTTACGATGTCTGGTCAGGGACTTGTGGCACTTCTCCATTGCTTCCAGGTTACCACCCATTTTTATTTTCATGTTTCAGGCATATGTTGAGGAAACTTCATTAGAATGTTACCTCTTTGGGGCTGTTTACCATCTTCTTCAGATGTGTTAGCAATAGATCTTCAACAGCAGGATGCAAATTTTAGCTACAATTTAGATGAATCCAACAACGTTTTAGTGGTTCCTACAGAGAAACCATTGCACATAAATTTCTTATAAAAGATTATCTAGAATTTTTGGTAAGATTTTTATTTATGTGTATGTATAAGCATACAGAACTGAGGCACAGGCCAGAGGTGCAGGGGGTGAGAGGATTCACCAGCGACAGAGTGGGGAGCAGAACAGGCAGGTTGATGAAGTACACTGCTGAGGGGAGTGGTGGGCAAGACAGGAAAGGTCTGCTGCACCATGTGGGTCACCTCCCTGGCTGGATGGAACTCATGCCGCAGTGACTGTGGGTTAGGTTCTTTGTGCTGTACTTTAATCTGGGAGGGCCCCATCTAGAATTTTAAGACTAATTTAAAGCTACTTAGAAAAGTGATAAATTCATACCAAAGACAACACATTATAGGGGTCTAAGATGGGTTCTGGCAAATCCTTTGAAATCCTGTCAAATTACACTTACGTAATATTTGTTGACTTTTCTTATTATGTTTCCTATTTTATACAAGATATATATCTTATATTCCTATTTGATAATTTCCAAACTAGTAACAAAACTTTATTATCTTGAAAGATAGTAAAATAGTGGGAAGATCCTCCTAATAAACATTGTTCTTACATATGTATATAGCAAGGCTTCTTAAGTTGTAAGAAGTATAAGGACTTCTTAAGAAACTAGTTATTTTCCTTATCAGTAAGGTTGTTACAGGGGAGAGGGAGGGGCACCCCTGAACCCCCAAACCTGCTTACTATAAATAGGGTCTGCCATTTACCACATCAAGACAAAACAAAAGATCCTTCATGGAAAAAGAACTTTAATACAATTAGTGTGCAAAACAGAAAAGACAAAAAATATAGATTCTAATTCAGACACCCAAAGTTACCATCCCCTGGTGAGTAAAAGTCCACCCAAAAGGGATTGGTCCAAAGCAAGGCCTGAAAGCCTGCCACAAGTCTAAAGCACCTTCTGGCCGGGACCCATGGAAAAGGGTCAGAAATGGCCAGACAAGTCTGGAAGGAAAAGAGCAAAGTCAAAATCAAGATAAGTGCTGCCATAGTCAACCTCCACATGGGTCTCTCACCCACCTCTGTTTCAGCCAGTGCAGGGCCAAGAAAGAAGAGCCACGTTTTCACATGTCTCTGCTCCACATGCCTCCCTCAGGGCTCCTCCTGGCTCTCCAGCCTGCTTCCTTCCTCTTCAATCTCCTCTCCAGATTCTTCTCCTTCCTGCTCAGCTCCACCCTCCTTTTTAGTGGGGCAGGGATCCTGGAACCTCCTCTTTTCCTGGGGACCACCCTGTTACAAGGTGACTAAAAGTACAGGACAATTCATTTATTTGAGAATGTAGACAGGATTGTGTAATGCTTTAGTCCTTAATAGAGGGAACTGAGGATATTAATGAATATAACCCAGTTCTTTCCCCTTCCTCTTTAGGCATATGAATCAGACCTGGGCACCATCTGTACCTTACCTGGGAGCCTACAGTTTTCTCATCGTGAAATCTTGATGGATTTGACTCTTGCTTTTTGGCAACTCCTGGACAGGAAAAATGCCAATAATCAGACTGGGACTTGGAAACCAGAATTTTCATCTTTTAAATAGGAGGACATTTTTGCTGTTGAAACTTACAGCTAGTGTCCTTGCTGTGCTTCTGTTTTGTGAATTTTTAATCTATTACTTAGTGATCTTTCAATGTAATTGGCCTGAAGTGAAAACTCCAGCTCATCGTGGTAAACAAGAGAAGCTCCAACCTGTGCTGAAAGCCATGTTTTTGGCTGATACCCACTTGCTTGGGGAAGTAAGAGGCCACTGGCTGGATAAATTACGAAGGTAAGAACCCGAACCAGGAATCTCTGAAATTCTGTAGGCAAAGGGTACCAGGGAGTTAGGTACCAGCCCTCGCCCCTCTCCCCACAGATCAGATTCCAAGGCTTCAGGGTACTCACTGCTTGTTTTCCTTTCATGGAAGGACATTTGGGGACTCTCCCTTTTCCGTGAATTTTCTACTGGTCATCTTTTATAGAAGGAGCCAGAGTTTGGGAGGCAGTCTGGTTTGTCTTATGACTTTCGCCAGCTTACTGAGAGCCCTCTAAGCCAGTCTCTGCCCTCCTTGTTATTAATTGGGTTATGCGAGAAACTTCACAGACTGCGTGAAGAAAATGTCTGCACCATGCTGACACTGGGGGTGGTCACAACAGTGGGTTTTCTACTCCCTGGGCAGGAGAGCAGACAGAGCTGGTGGGTGGGCCGTTCAGCCACAGGTGTGTAGTTTGGAGTCCACCAGCTTTTTGCCTTCCCACAGCAGGAGTGGCAGAGCAGAATGGTGGCTGTCCCTTGCAGAGGGGCTCAGGGCCTGTTTCTCCAGCTTAGGCCTGCATAGCTGGTTTGTCTGTTTTCTCATCTGAAGCTTTTTGAAGAGTTCAATCACAGTAAAATTTGCATTCCATGAAAGTTATCCTCTTAAGGTACATTTTTGTGTCCTGATCAGTGGTTTAGTGCCTACACATTGTTGTGCGTGCATTACCTCCATCCATCCCTACGCCTTTCCTCATCCCAAACTGAGATTCTGAACTCCGTGTTTTCTCCTTTTCCGCCCTGATGGCTGCCATTTTACTTTGTCTCTCTGAATTTGACTACTCTGCCTGCATGTGAGTGGACTCTTGCAGTCTTTGTCTTTTTGTGATTGGCTCATTGCATTTAGCATAATGACCTCAAGGTTCATCCTTGAGTACCAAGTGTCAGAATTTCCTCTCTTGGAAAGACTAAGTATTCATTGTGTGTTAAGCCACATTTTAATCATTCATCTGTCAGTAGACACCAGGCTGTTTGCCCCTCTTGGCTATTGTGAATATCACCCACCAAAAGAGGTCTGATGGGTACTTCAGTTGCTAGGTCAGAGATCTCCCCTTCTTGCTCCATAACCCAACCTTGTTCCTTACAATGGTGGCGTTTGTGCCTCTCTAAACGGATCTTTATTCTTATGAGGGGAGCATTCTTCTAGCTGGATGAACCTTATGCCAGATGGGAGGGGAATATGTCTAATGTCCTCAGAGTGGCTGGGGGAGACAGGATGAATGGAGAGATGGAGGAAGGGGCTGCTCTGTTTGTTAAGAGTTTAAGTCCAAAGGGGCATTATTTGGAGAAGGACTTGGGTGAGACTTGGGTTCCTTTGGCTCTGTTATGGTCAGCCCTCCAAGCAATCTTCCTTACCCTCTAGCTACTGCTGCTTCTAGATCCTTTCTTCTTCAGGTTGGAGAATACCCAATCAGGGGAAACTGAGAAATGCATTTTAGGAGGTCTCTCTCAAGATAAACCTTTAAATAGAGATGTACACTACGCAAGGGCCTGGACAAGCCCTTTGACCAAAATTATCTTTCCCTGCTCATGCCTCAGCACATGACATCCTCTCTCCATCCCGCCATTTTTGTAGGGGAGAAGCATCCTGGGGCATACCTTGAGAAGGAGGTAAAAGTTGGGGTCTGTAGGAAAATGAAGTGGGTTAGAGTTGATTTGGCAGCAGGGGAGGCTTGACAAGGCACAGATGCTGTGCTGGACATTTTATAAATGTTCTCTCATTTGATCCCATGACTATCCTGTGAGAGTAGGTTTGGTTATCTGACTTAGCAACAAGGACACTTGAAATCAGAGAGTAAGTGACATTTCCAAGTCTGTACTACCATTTAGTGATTGGAGGCTGTCCAGCGACTGCCTGTCAGATGCTGGATCTCAAGCTCTGGTCATTTGCTTCTCTTCCCAGTGACTGATTATGGGCATGAGTGAAGTCTACAAGATTTGAGTTTTGATATTGATTGGTCTGTCATTTTCTACTCTCAACTTTAAACGCAGGAAATTAGTTAAGGTTCCTTTAAAAAGAAATGAAACCGGGCCCTCCCTGGTGGCGCAGCGGGTTAAAGCACTGCACTGAGAAACTGAAGCCACTTCCGCATGAGTTTGATCCCCGCCTGCCCAGGAGGCGACCACATGGCGCGGCAGACCTCTCCTGACCCGCCCGCTGCTCCCCTCAGCAGTGTACTTCGTCCATCTGCCTGTTCTGCTCCCCACTCTGTCTCTGGTGAATCCTCTCACCCTCCGCAACTCTGGCCTGCACCCCAGTTCTGTACGAATAAATAAATATTTAAAAAAAAAAAAAAGAAATGAAACCCCAGCAAGGAGAATGGGCCACTTTCAGTTTACTTTTTTTTTTTTTCAAAAGATTTATTTATTTATGCTTACAGAACTGGGGTACAGGCCAGAGGGGAAGGGGAGACAGAGTGTGGTAGCAGAACAGGCAGATCAACGAAGAACACTGCTGAGGGGAGTAGCGGGTGGGTCAGGAGAGGTCTGCCGTGCCATGTGGATCACCTCCGGGGCAGGTGGGGATCGAACTGATTCGGAAGTGGCTTCAGCTTCTCAGTGCAGTGCTTTAACCCGCTGCGCCACCAGGGAGGGCCAAGATTTTTATTTATTTATGCATACAGAACTGGCATGCAGACCAGAGGTGCAGGGACATGAGACGAGACAGAGAGAGGGGGAGCAGAACTGACGAAGTACATTGCTGAGGAGAGCAGTGGGCAGACAGGAGAGGTCTGCCGTGCCATGTGGATCACCTCTGGGGCAGGTGGGGATCGAACTCATGCGGAAGTGGCTTTAGCTTCATAGTGCTATTCTTTAACCTACTGTGTCACCAGGGAGGGCCCTTCAGTTTATTTTTTTTAGGTGGTGCCTAAGACAGAAGGGCACTACTCAAAAAACCAGACTGATGTCTTAATTTCCCTTTTGCTTCAAGGGAGTGGCAAATGGAGAGAGCCTTCCAGACGGCCCTGTGGTTGTTGCAGCCGGAAGTCGTCTTCATTCTGGGGGACATCTTTGATGAAGGGAAGTGGAGCTCCCCCCAGGTAGGACCCTGTGACCCAGGCACCTGGTTCCTGCTTTGAGGGTCCAGCACAGGCTACTTTGAGAATCCAGGAGACAATGCCAGTGAGGGCTGGTAGTTTTGCTTACAGAAAATGAACTTGCTCATTTGTCCGGAAGATTTTAAGGGTCTTTCTCCAACACCATTTGGAACCACCATTAGATTAATGGTGGCTAATGTTATAACTGCCTGTGGGAAATATGTAGATCAGACAGATATCAATTTGTTGGATGCGTGTTCCCATGAACTTCTCTGGAAATGGAAAAACAGGCAAATGGACACCATGTCAATAGTCCCCAAAATTACAGTATACATGTTGAAATGTCTGTTTAACTTTACATTCATTCTTTTATCTAACTACCAAATGGCCAGAATTATGCTCTGTAGTTATGCTACAAAATTGGATATTTGTGCTATAAAAGTTGCTTGTTTCTCTTATTTTCTACTGAGAGAGAGGTGCAGAAGGAGCCACAGGCCTTGGTATGAAAGGCTGTGCCTTTGGAGGCCATGACCTCTGCCTAGGTATTGGTGTGACGTAAGCCTTCCCAGAAACCAAAGAGAAAGGCCACTTAACTCAGCAGTCACGAAGCCTTGCTTGTGAAATTCCTGGAGTTAATGAGAAATAAAAAGAGCTGTTACTGCTGCCAAGTTAGAAATGTTCAGTCATTAATAGCTTATGGAAGGGATATTTTGAGGGAATTTAAAAAATCACTGGCATTCCCCAGAATGGTCCAAAAATTGTACAAAGAAAGTTTAGGCTAGTTATATGGCAGAAACTCACTGCTTGTCAGCTCAGAATGTTTGTTATAATCTAGTCCTTAACTAAATAGGAGATTATGGAAGTGTCATTTGTAAAAAACAACTAGTTGTACAATGAAAATTGTAAATTATTGAAAATTAAGGGCAACATTGGATGTTATTTTTAAAATTTTATGCTATTCTAACAGAAACTCTTATTTCTTACAGTTAAGTCTTTGCAAACATAGGACTCTTTCTGGCATATTTTTGTAGGTTGAGTCATGTTTAAAAACCTTTAAAATAAAGTTATGAGTATTCTGAATAAAAACAGTAATCTAGCTGATATTTTTGGTTTAATAAATGAAAGAACTACACTAACATAATTGTCAAGCCTTAATGGTTAATGTTAATGTTAGGGAAGTTTTGATATGTTTGTGTATTTTGCTCTTTTTCCCTCCCACATCTGATCAGTTCACATCCCGAAGGGATGTGCTCATCCTTGTCTTGGTTGAAACATGCAAAGAATTTACTTGGAATTTTCGAAGAGTTTGTTCTTATAACATGTCCAGATCTCAAGCCATTTTCAACCTGGGGTCCATGCAGCATCTTCATGGGGTCTGAAAATAATAGACAAATAGGTCAGATATCTTGGGGCTTGCAATTAATGTCTTGAGGTGGGAGATAGCATGATTGCCACTTAAGTGAAATTAATATTTGAAATGATTAAAATACTAAGCGTATCTTAGGAAAAGAAGGATAACATGGAATTTCACATTCTAAATTAGGCTTCTGAACATCTGACTTAGGCAGGGAATGAACTTATCATCATCAGAATTCATATGATGTCTTTTAGCTCCAGGGAAGAGAGGGTTCTCTGGGTTTTCACAGCCATCCTTTCCCCCACAGGCCTGGGCAGACGATGTCGCCAGGTTTCAGAAAATGTTCCGACATCCGCAGCACGTGCAGCTGAAGGTGGTTGCTGGCAACCATGACATTGGCTTCCACTATCAGTAAGTAGTTCCTGAAGCATGATGTCCTGCATGCGCTTGCTCACTCTAACCTTAGTTGTGCTGCTCCACTTCAGACCTTAGTTGTGCAGCGTGATGGGCATTTATATGCCCCAAAAGAACTTAAGCCCCATAAGGGCAAGAAGTTCCGGCTTTTCATCATGAGCACCCCCAACAAATCTCTGTTAAATGTATGACTTGTAGGTGCCTTTGGGTGATCTAACTTGAACCTTACATTTAATGGCCAGTTATTTTCCTTGGGAATCAGAAAATCAAGCCATTTGGACTTTAACAGTTAACATACAGTGCTTATGATATGCCTGTGTTGGCACTTTACGTCCAGGTGTTAACTCATTCCCAGGTCCTGTTAGGTCAGTAGAAGCTTGACTGTCCTCATTCCATTCCTACAGTCACTGTAGTCCAAAATAACTCATCCTCTGAGATGCTTTGGGAGAGTGAGCATGCTGATATTACTTATATTATTATAGTTGCTCTATTTTATTTTTCGCTCTTGTTCATTTCCTACTGTGCCTAACTTAACACATTAAAATTTATCAAAGTATGTAGGAATAAACAAAGCATATCTTAGGTTGGGGACTATACATCTTTTCAGGTATCCACTTGGGGTCATATCCCCTGCCCGCCCGCCCCAGGGATATTTTACTTATTGAAACCAACAGGAGACCTGAGGTCCTGGGGACCACGTCACTTGGTCCAGGCCTCATGGATAGAGGGCAGTGCAGCTGAGAGTAGCACCTTTTGGCCCAGGGTCGTGAGCACGTGCAACATTATTCTGGTACGCAAATCCTGAGTTATTTTCTGTACTTTTAATCACTCTTAGGAGGTACTGAAATGGCATGTTCTGAAACCTGTTTCCTCTTACCATTGAGTATAGGATGGACGCATACAAAATAAAACGTTTTGAGAAAGTTTTCAACCCTGAGAGGCTGTTTTCTTGGAAAGGAATTAAGTGAGTATTATTCATGAATTTTCCTGAAGTCTTTGGAACCTTAATTTTTAAGGGAGGCCGCTGCGCTGGTCAGGCCCACACGCTCTCTGGCCTGGTGTGCGGTCTCTGACAAAAGCTGTGGGCAGCTCCACAATGAGTCCATCTCTGGCTTTGCTCAGGCACTGAGAGGAATTCATTCTTTGTGCCAGCCCTATCGCTAGGTGATGTACATTCATTAGTCTTCTTGTACCGGCATTTGTTTACAGTTCTCTGATTTCCCCTTGTAAAGAATGCTCCTGTGGTTAGGTCTGAGGACTTAGTGGCAGTGTGTGTTTTCTGTGCTTTGTAGCTAAGTACCCCCTTAACTTCTAAGCCCGCCTCACCCTGTAGTCTTGATCATCAGCACCTTCCCTCCTGTGTGGCCACTTTCAAGCTTATTTTGGGGCTCTTTCCTGTCCATGTGTGTTTGCAGCACAGTGGACAAGACTGTACACATTATTCTAGTTGCAGATACTGGAGAGAGAAGAAGGGAGAGAATGTCTTTTCCTGTTTGGTCACCTCCTCTCCGTAGGTATCTGGTATTCTGCTGACTTTGAGCACAGCAGCTCAGTGGGCCCATGAAATGCAATAACCTGTGCCAAACTCCCAGAGGTCTGTGTGAACCAGCGTTCAGTTGGTTTTCCATGGATACTTGCTTCTTCTCTCCTTTTTCCTGTCAGTCAGCTTCCTTTGGTAGTCATGCTGAAGACTGGACACAGTTGAGTTATTCCCCCAGGTGTAGGGAGGCAAAGTATGCTTATCATCTTGCTGGTCATTTGGCCAGACAGCTACTTATCATGAAAGTTCTTTAAATAGGGCCTCCCTGGTGGCATAGAGGCTAAGTCTCACCCTTCCGTCAGGACTGAGTCTGATCCCTGGCTGTCGGGGTGCCCGGGACTCCAGCCCCATGATTCAGCAGCCAAACCCGCCTGTTGTACACGTGAGCAGTGCTCTGATTGGCCAATGTACACGTAAGCAGTGCTCTGATTGGTCAACGAATGTTATTTAAGCAACTGCCATACCGGACTCTGGGGGGGAGCAGCAGAGAGGAGGCAAGCTAGAGCAAGCGAAGGAAGCAAGCAAGAGGAGCAGGGGGGGGAGGCTGCAGGGAGGAGGAGGAGGAGAGAGAGAGAGAGAGAGGCTCGCGAGGGAGAAGAATAAAGGGTCCAGAAGAAGATATATCGTGGGGTCTCTCTGTTGGCAGAGAGTGTGCCACACCTGGCCAGGGAGCTAACCTACATATGGAACAGCAGATTCCTCCTGTCTCACCTGCTGCTCCCCTCAGCAGTGTATTTCAGCAGTTCTGCCTGTTCTGGCTCCCATCTGTCTCTGGTGAACCCTCTCACTTCATACCTCTGGCCTGCACCCCAGTTCTTGCATGCATGCATAAATAAATCTTAAAAAAATTCTTTAAATTTCAAGCAATCTTCACCTTCTTCATTCTAACCAGTTGGTACATGTAGGAAATAAAAGCATATGTAATGAAAGTTTATAAAAATATAACTCAGGTAACAGGGTTGTAAAGGAGACAATAATAGATTTTTTGTTTTCTTTGGTTGGGATTATCCATACTGTTAACTATAGTGACCAGCTGCTGCCCCACCTTATTTGCTGAATGCCCAGATATGACAGCATATTGCCTGTGGTTCACTGTGTGAAGTAATTAGGATACCTAACATTTACTGAGTACTTTCAGGGGCAGGTTCTAATCTTTTGTATTCTTCACTCCTCATAACGAGCTGATGGTGGGGATATCTCTTACTATCCTCATCTTTACAGAGCGCAGAGAGGCTAAGTCACTTACCTGTGGGTAGATTTGAGCTTAGTAGAGACTGACCTCAGAGCTCCATGAGCTGGGATTTCTCACAAGTTTGGGATTACAAACCCTTTTACTTGTACCCCACTCTAACCCTAAAAATGCACATTAATCTGGCTGGGATTGAAAACTATTCAGGGCATGTTCTCTTGGGCCCTTGGTTTTTGGGGGGAGCGGTGTTGGAGAATTGGACATGGGCCTGACGCATGCTCGCTCTTCTCTGCCTCAGTTTTGTGATGGTCAACAGCGTTGCCCTGGAAGGGGACAACTGTAGAATTTGCTCTGAAGCAGAAGCTGAACTCACTGAAATTTCTCACAGACTGAACTGCTCTCGAGAGGTAGGAGGTCAGCGGGATGGCATAGGTGTCTTGTGCTTGGATGTCTGCTGAGGGCACAGCAAGCTGGCGTTCCTTTGTCTGTGGTTAATCTCAGCTTCTTCCCTCCTGCCATTCACCGAGTCAGTGACTGGCCGATTTCGCCCGGCAGGAACATCACCCCAGTCAGTGTGGAGACAGGCTGCCAGCGTCAGCTCCAATCCTGCTGCAGGTGAGGGGTGGGGAGAGCTGCCCTTGTATTTGGCAGGACAAACCAAGATCTCATGACATCTGCCTTTTCTAAATTCTGGGCAGCACTTCCCACTTTACCGGAGAAGTGATGCTAACTGTTCTGGAGAGGATGCAGCACCCCCAGAAGAAAGAGGCATCCCCTTCAAGGAGAGATACGATGTGCTTTCTCGGGAGGCTTCACAAAAGGTTTGCCTGTCTACCAGGCTGGGGACTCAAAGGCAGACGACCTGCAGGGTTATCAGTGAAGGATGGAGGGCAGGGTTTTGGTGATAACTTCAGATTTCCACGTCCTTTTCCCCTTCCCTCACTAACTTCACCTCTGTTTTCTAATATCAAATTAGAATTTCCCCATCAACCTAAATATGTTGAGAAAAGTGAATGGGACTTAAAGATATATACACACATACATACATAATTTAAGATGTGCTTTCTCAAATATATGCTATATAATGCATACTATTTTATGAAATAAATTTACAAAAATAAGATAAAAACGGTACAATCTGGGCTGGAAATAGGTGATCTCTAAGAGCCTGAGCTTATTACTGTGAAGAAGTTGTTTTGTATTTGCCCCAGTGCCGTAAGTTCTGCGCTGGGCAGTCCCCTGCAGGCCCTAACCCTCTTGCTTTCCCCACCCGGTAGCTGTTATGGTGGCTGCAGCCGCGGCTGGTCCTGAGCGGCCACACGCACAGCGCATGCGAGGTGTTCCACGGGGCCGGCCTGCTGGAGCTCAGCGTGCCTTCCTTTAGTTGGAGGAACAGAAACAACCCCAGCTTCATTATGGTAATATGAACGTTTATTTTTGTCTGAATGCTTTCATTAAGGATTTAAATCAACACAGTAATCAACTATTTGAATGCTGCTGCAATCTGTAGAAATATACAAAAGCCATAAACACCCCTAACTGCACACGCGCGAGCACGCACACACGCACACACACACGCCGCACGCACGCACGCACGCACGCACGCACGCACTGAATTCAATTCTACCCCTCAGCCTAAACACCTCTCTGGAGATAAACATAGCATCGTTCCCAGGGTTGGGGCAGAGGGGGGCAAGTTTTGTCCTGCTGGCATGGCTGTACCCTCTGATGTTAGGCTCTGTGTGTTTAATTTCCTAAGGAAACAGGATAATTTCCTTTCCTATAGTCTGTCATCTTATTCCCCCGCCCATGGCCATTGCCCTGGTAGAGAAGTACTGCAGCTCTGCCAGTTATTAAAGATGCTTCAATTAACGACCACCTGGTGTTCCAGCTCCTTGCTTTTACCCCTGGGGCCCAGCACCTGGTTCACCAAACCTTCACATCAAGTACTTCCCTTCATAAAAAGATGGGGAAGCCCTCCTGTTTTCAAATTCATGGTAAATGAAACATCTGCTATCATTCCATAGAGCAGAAAGGACTACAAAAAAATCTCAGATGGCCCCACATATGTATTTTGTGACAAACTGCATGAAACAACAGCCTCTTTGTGTCTTTATTCCTTGACCATGGATCCAGATCTCCACGTCTCTTCACTCACATATGCCCACTGCTCTCGAGGAGCCCTGTGTGCCAGGGGCTGGTTCTCTGGGAAGCCAGGTTCCAGGCTGTCCAACATTACTCTCCCCTTCTCTGTTACGACTGTACTGGATGGGTAGGTTGTGCATGCTAAAGCCAGGTCCCCCCACTGCCCTCCAGTGTTGTTTCTAAGTCAGACTGTCAGGTTGGGCTGAGCTTGGAGCTCTCACTGAAGCGTAACATTCTGGCTTGCTTTCCAGGGCAGCGTGACACCCACGGGGTATGCTCTCGCCAAATGTTTCCTCCCCTTGGAACACACAGTTCTGATCACATACTGCGGAGCGGCTGGCTTCCTGGTGGTCCTCATATTAACTTACTTGCAGCTAATAACCTCACCTCTTCATTTAGGTTGGAACCTGCTTAAAAAATATAAGACAAAGTAAAGAGCAGGAAACTTCTGCATTTAGTAATAAATATCAAAGTCAAAGAAACTGAACTCTGGGTGTTGTGCCTATCAGGTGAGGCCAAAGTAGGCTGTCTCTATGCCCATCATAGAAATTCTAAATCACTGATGCAAACCATGGCAGAATAAATAGTTGATTGTACTGTTCTCATGCTATAAAAATGGAACATGTACTCTAAACAAATCTGTTTTCTCATTTTATCAAATATATGTATAATCAAAGATTGTATCTGTACAGTATGTAAAAGCTATTAATGTCATCACTTGCATGCACTAGGTAGTCTTTCCTTCCCCAGGATGGAGCGAGCAACTCTGGAACACACTTGAGATTAGGTGTCCACAGACCTGGGGTTTGCTTCTGTCCACCCATGAAGTGGTTCTCAAATTCCTATAAATTATAAGGCTGTAAACTTAAAAATATAAATGCTACAAGAAGTAATGTATTGTTTTCACAGACTTTCATATTTTTTGTGCTAAATTAATGGAATCATATTTTTAGATAAATATTATTGTCTCTTCAACAGATGAAGTTTTTAAATCTGAATTTTAATGCTTGTCAATGACCAAAAGAAACCTGAAAATTAGACTAGTAAATGTCTTGATGACTTTAAGCTAGATAGAATGTAATTTTCTTGAGTCTAGCTCTTTAACTTTTAAAATGAAAAAAGGGAATTATTGAGTAGTAATGCACAAAACAGTACACAACACTTCTGTGTATGTGAGGGTATATATTTTTCATTTAGTCTTCATGTTTTACTTAAAAGTGCAACAGGAACTGTTTTATTTCTACTTTATATGTCTCAGTTCAAATGAGAGTTTCATGAAGTGGTTAAATGGACAGGGGTAAAAATTGGCTGATAATGAAATAAAATGTTTGCTGTATTGACTGTAAAGTTGTCATCCTGTCTTTTTTTTGAAAAGTAGCATTTAAAATCTAGAAGAGTATATAAAGGATTCTAAAATTTTTATTATAGAGTAAACTTTAAAATATTGAACAGAGAGTGAAAAGACTAAAAGGAATGAATGAAGTGATGCAGGCTAGGCTATCGCTTCTCTGGATCTGTGTTGAAATGCACTTTGGACATTTCTACACATTATCTTCCAACTAAGGGAACTACCCTCAAAACTGTGGCTGTGGTGAGAATATGAATTGTCAGTGCCACTGTGATTTTGCTTTCCAGATACTGAGTCATAATGTTCCAGGCTGCATTTATTAATCTTTGAAGTGTGAAAAGAAAGCCATATATTTTGGCTTTATATGTCAAACAAAGGTCTTGTAATGATTTTTCTTTAAAAGTGAAGATGTTCTTATTTCATTCTTCTAGGCCAGACACAAGCATTGGCATCTTTTGGTGCTTTCTTGCTAACGTCTCCATAATAGCAAAATAATCAAAAGATGTATGGTCTGGAGGGGGGAAAAAAAAACCCTTGGTTCCCTGTGATGTTTTGTAAGATGTGTATGATCATGTGTTTACTATATGCATATGTGCATATATGTATAGTTATATATACATATATATATATAAAATCAAGGAGTATTTTAAAAAGTACCAACCTGACAAAACATCCTAAATTCTACAGATACCATTCATTCCCTTTTTCAGAGCAAGCGGCAGATAATGTTGACATTTAGCTGTTCAGCACAATAAAAACACATTTCTTTTACAGATGTAGTAGCCATGATCAAGGCACAAAAATCTACAAGGATTTTTCTTTAGTAGTTATACAAAATAATATTACATTTTGTGGCCTGTACAATATAACAAACCAGCAGTAACAACAACAACAACAAAAATATGAGAGAGGAGACTATGGCCCAAGCAGAGTGAACTCTGGAGAATCCGTTTTGGATACACTTTGCAGTGGTGGATGTGCGGGTTTTCTGCCTGAATGTCAAAGGTTCCAAAGTAATCCTAATTCAAAGGCCTGAGGCTGGCAGTGCCTGCAAAGTATCTGACAAGAATTTCTTGCCCTCTGGCTTGGGGAACTCCATTCTAAGTCTCGGGGGCCCATGCAGATCAGAGGGCACCTGTGTCTCCCGCAGCTTCTTAAAGCTGTGGCTCAGCGTCTGCTAGGGCCTCACAGCCATGCTGGATGACTCAGAAAAAAGTGCATTTCTCCTTCCCTCCCAGTCAAGTTCCTGAAGAATCAATCCATGATGATTAAATATTTACGAATGAATCCACAGCCCCCCCCCCGCCCCCTCGCAAGATCTCACTGCAGTGTCACCCAAGCGAGGGGCAAGTAGGGCAGTGACACCAGTGGGTGGGTTGGGAGAAAGTGTGAAGGTCGAGTTCAGTGGGAACTTCAGCTACAGACCAAACCCGAGGAGGACAGAGGTAGCCAGAGGCTCGGTGGACGCAGGGGCGGGCGCGGGGTGGGGTGCACGCACGTGGGACAGAGCAGGCGGCCCAAGTAGGCGAACTCAGACTTTCCCCCAGGCTCCGGGCTGACCCGCAGGCCGGCTCGGGTCCCGGCTCCCCGCAGGGCCGCGGCAGGGGGGCGGGGCGCTGGCCGGGGAAGGTGCGCGAACCCGCCGGCGCGCCTCACAAGAGTTCGTACTGCTTGAGGTGCATGCGCTGGATGATGTCGCGGCAGTCGTTGAACACCCTGCGGATGTTCTCCGTGTCCACCGCGCAGGTGAAGTGTGGGTAGCAGTAGTGCTTGCCGTCCCCGGTCGCAGTGCTGATCCTCTGCGAAAAGAGGGGTGTGTCTGGCTGTGCACCCGTGGGGCACGGGCGCTGCCCCGCTCCCACCCCCCAAGAATTCCACGCAATTTTGACCCTGCTCAGAGCAAAGACCCGGGGCTGGAGGGCTTGTCCTGTCTGCTTGTGGGACTCAGCAAGCGCTGGCCTCAGGGACTGTAAATATTGAGCACTGCTGGCAACTCCAGAGCCAGGCTCTGGATTGCGCAGAATCTTAGAATTTCAATATACAGGACATGCGACTGAAAGACAGCCACTGATGTAGGATTCAGGTAGGCTTTCCCCATAAATGAAGGTTCAACCAACATCTTCCAGCAGAACTTTTGGCACCATGGACATGTTCTCTGTCTGCTCTGCCAATGTGGTAGCCCTGCTACTAGCTGATAACTACTAAGACTGAATGTTTAGTTTTAATTTTAATCAAATAGGTGATGTGGCTAATGGGTTCTGTATGGGCAGCACTGGCCTTGTTATCTTCTGCTCCACAGAGAAGATAGTGTGTTTTAGGGTGTCTCTGGTTAGCAGTGGTTCTGGGAGCAGAGGTTAAAGTCTGAGACGGAGGTGTTCAGGTTAGTTTTTTCCTGAAGCCGCACTCATTGCCTTGCAGATAGCTGACTTCTCCCTAACTAAGAGATACCAGTGGAGGACTTCAGTCACCATGCCTGAGCACAGCTCAGCTTCTGAAGCTAGGTGGGGTTACAGGCAGAAAGACTAGGACGGGCTGAATGGTGCCCCCCCCCCCGCCACTATGTGTGGAAGTTCTAACCCCAGCACCTCAGTACTCAGACTAGGATTGTATTTGCAGACAGGGTAGAAGTAATTATGTTAAAATAAGGTAGGATAAGATGGGCCCTATTATAATGTGACTGGTGTCTTCATAGGAAGAGGAGTTGAGGACACACTCGCACAGAGCTAAGACCATGTGAGTGTCTGGGAGAAGTCAGCCATCTGCAAGGCAAGTGGTGAGGCCTCAGGGAAAAACTAACCTGGTGAACACCTCAGTCTCAGACTTTAGCCTCTGTAGACCCACATGGAACCTTCTGTTAAATCACATACACTGTGAGACTTTGTTACCGTAGCCCTAGCAAATGAATTCAGAAGGCATTACGGAGTTTTCATCATAGATGCCAAAGAAGTCCCTGTATGTCCCCAACCTCGACTTCTTCCTTTTCTGTAAAGCATTTTGCAAAATGGGCATTGGAATTCCTGCAAGTTCCTCAGGTGATGAAGCTCCTCGAAGGAGGCACAGATTTATTCTTGAGCAATCAGGAGGGAAAAAAATCTGTAACGGTATCGATGCTAAGATGTATAGGCTATGTCCTGTGAGAGGTAAAGGGCAGGCGAAGTATGTGGCATGTGCTTTAGGTGCCCTGTGAGGCCAGGGTGACTGATCCGACTCAAATTTCTCAGAGGGCATGTTGCTCCAGGGAAATTTCACAACAGAAAAACCTAAGTTGATACCCCTTATGCCATTATCTCCTTGGCTTGCAAACTGAGTACAAGCCAGGGTTTGTTCACTGTCAGACAATACAAGGTCTGAGCAGTGGTCTGCCCATTCATTTTAGGGGGAGTGGGGAGTGGTTCAGTTTCTAATTTTTATCTAAGTGATACCCAGTTTGCTCACTTAGCTAACATTAGTTCTCATCAAAACAGTATTTTATGAATTACTTTTTGTTTGCTTTTATATTTATGATCTTGCAAGAAGTTCATCAAAAAATGGAGTTCTTTATATACTGCAAACAAATTTGTTATTGAAGAAATTCACAATGCACATTGGCACAGGAAGGACCCAGAAAGTCCGAAGGCAGATGCCTCTTGCCTGTAGCTGAGCCCCTCCTGGGCACTGCCTGCTAACTTCCCAAGGAACGCCTGTGCCTCAGAATGCACTTTGGGGACTTGATTTTGTACCCAGGTTACTTTCTCACTCAACATAGGGAGGGACTCAAGAGGCAACCATAGGAGGCATGATGAGAAAGTGTTCCCCAGGAGTCAGATCCTGGGGGTGTCCCTGCTCTGGAGGGGCCAGGGCCTACATCTGCAAGCACACAGGCATCCGAGTGCCATGTGGGTATATCAGGAGTGTGTCCTTGGGTAGGTCTTGGCATTTACTAGTTTCCACTTAGTCAAAACCCAGTCACACACTAAAAACTTACAGATGCACAGACAAAGCAACTATGGCAAAATTTTACCAGTTGATCTATATGGGTGAAGAGTATATGTAAGTTTTTTGGTACAAGGCTTTCATTTTTTTTATGTAAGTTTATGATTATCTAAAAATAAAAATTAAAAAATGTAAGAACCCACTAAATGTCTGTGAGCAAGTCCACACTCTTGTTCAGCTTTAAAGCTGAGTGGTGGGTGAGGGGCACCATAGTGTGGCGTTTCAGACTCGGGCCAAGAATTCCTTCTCCACCACAAGTGAACATGGCCTGATGGTTTCCATGCCCTTCCCAGGGACCTGTGCACAGGCAGGACAGTGCTAGAATCCTGTGCTTGCATGGGAGCTGTGTGACCTAAGGCGAGAAGTCCAGTCATTCTGAAACCCACTGTGCTCAGCTGTGAGTTGAAATAAGGACATTCACTCTCATCTCATAATTTGGGGAGAAGTTAAATAAGATCTTGAAAAGGAAGTTGTTTCAGATTGCACATAACCATGTAAATGTAAGGTGGCAGGAAAAACAAAGGCTGAAAAAGCTGCTTACCAGAAACAGGTCCCGGATGAAGAACTTTGCTCTTGTAACTTTGGGGTCTTCTCCCGCATCTGGGGTTGCTGTAGAAGTTACAAATGGAGTTTTATTTCAGCAATATGAAACAAAGAGATGACTAATTCTATGGAAATTATTAAAGGAATGACTCAGCATAAAAAACACACGAGAAGTGTGTCACTTCATTCCCTCCTTCCAAGTCATTTTACCTGGTAGAGCACTGATAATTCTTTTTCTTGGTTTGGGATAACTTTTACTGAAATAAAATGAGCATCTTTCATTGAACACTGCAGAGCGCTTTCACCTGCAGAGTGCTTTGGGAAGCTTCCTAGCACCTGGGAGCCCGGCCGGGCCGTGGCCTGCAATGATTTTCGGAGGCTGTGCTCCTCTGGGCTGCCACCTCCCATCAGCCCTGTCAGGAAGGCCTCTCTTCCCAGATCCGATCTCAGACTCAGATATTTGGAACCCCTGAGAGAAAAAGACCATAGCAACCACTGTGCCTCCTGGCCAGTCCTGAAACCATCTCCCAGATTCTATGTTCATGGGATCATTCAGCATTTTTGTATGAAAAATGAAATCTGTGTTCCTAAAATCCAGGCCCCATAGTGAGCATCCTCATGCTCTTCCTTCTCCTTCTCTCTTCCAACTACTGTGATTCCATCATCACTCACATAGTATAGGTGGTGGGAGCACTGTGGGGCTGAGTCAGGGCTACCTGTGGACCTATCTGCTAGACCCAGGCAGGTGCCTTATGCTGGAGGGGAGAAGGGAAGCAGGCAGCCTCTGAGCATGGAGGCTTCAGTGTCCACTGTGGATGGAGGGGAGGAGCATAGGCTCACTGAATACAAGAGCAGGAGGAGCCTTTGATATTCTGGCCTGGCCTTTGATATTCCCTGGCCAGACCAGGCTTGGCCTCAGGATGTGGTAAAATTAAGCTAGAGTTTGTAGGGCTCATAGAGGCAACTTATGGTTGTGCTCTGACAGAAGTTCAGAGAAAATCCTGGTTAGGTCCTGCCAGGGAGCCCGGCAGAAAGCTGCATAGCCCCGGTCCATGACTGAGATCAGGGGCTGATGACCTGGAGAAGGCCAGAGGAGAAAGGAAGGAGGAGTATGGGAGGTGAGCTGTAGAGCTTCTTTGGCTCTTGGCTAAATGGGTCCAGGGCACTGATTAGAGGGAAAAGTTAAAGACGACCCAGTTGCTGGGAGAAGCTTAATGCCAGCCTAAGAGCAGGAGACAGCAGTGCTGGGAGATGTCCCTGAGGTGGGCAGCATGCGATCAGAGTCTTGGAAGCAGACCCCAAGACTAACTGTGGTGAGGGCACACAGTGGTTCATTTTCTTGACTGATGTTTCTGCGAAAGTCCTTTTTATTTTTGCTTTATCTAGTTTGGAGTCAAGTGTTTAGAAGTGGTGTTATTTGCCCTACATAAATCCGACAATCCCTCCTCCAAGACTCTGGGGGGCTTGTGTTTAGTGAAGAATGGAGAGTAGCAGCTGGAATCGGGTTCTAATACATGCAGGTTCTTGGGGATGGTACCGTCCCAGATTTACACTGAAAGGCCCACCGCATGTCCACAGTCTCTGGTGGTCTGGGATGACTGGTCATCTTGACAAATATTTTTGCAGCCAAAAAGAATGCTAGAGATGAGACAATAAAATGATGGAACACATGTGCTTAGGAAGAAAGGAGTGGAGGGCTGTCTTCTCAGGCTCTGCTGCCTGTGTGACATTGAACAAGTGACTTTGCTTCAGCCACACTATCCACAGGAAATCATGAGAACAGAAACCTACACAGTGTCACTCTCATGATTTGGCATGAGGTCAAGGAAAGAAGGGGCTGACAAGGGCCCAGGAACACAGCCTAGTCAGGGTAGCATGAGCCAGAACTCACCCAGCAAATGATGCCACACCCAGAGCGCCCTTTCTCCTGCTGCACAGTTTGAATGGAAAGTCAAACTCTAGAAGTTTCACACATAGAATCCAGAATGGATATTTTGATCCTCTAGGGTTGTAGGAAGGGGCAGTAGGAGAGATAACTCAAAACAAACTGAATTTTGCTAAATTCGTGGGAATTACAGTCATGTGTTTCCTAACAAGGAGGATACATCCTGGGAAGGACAGAGCCAGGTGGCTGTGTCACTGCAGGGAGGTGGTAGCTGGTGCTCACACAGGCCTGGGCGGTGAGGCCCATGCACACCAGGATATGTGGAGAACTGCCTTTTGGGACTGCTGTGGATGTGTGGTCCCTTGTGATTGAAGTATCATAAAGGGATACATGACTAAGTTATGGAGGCGTTGAGAAAACAATTCTGTTTCTTAAGCTTGAGACACTTGTCTTGAAACCTTACCATCTTCAGGAACAGTGTAATTTGCATACTCTGGGAAATAGTCTTCAATTTTTGATTTTCCTGCCAAGACTTTTTCTGCCAGCATATCTTGTTTGTTTAAGAACAAGATGATAGAAATGGTCCGTAACCACCTGAAAAGGAGATATAAACACACATTTCACACCCACTGCTATCTCTAATGTAGGAATTGTCCAATGAAAAGGACCTTTCCATCTTCCTGAAAATGTATAGTACTTACAGTGATCTGAAATATGAAGAGCTCATGCCCCCTATTCTATATGCAAACACGCCATCCTTACAATGATAAACAAGTAAATACAGGTAGCTGAGTAGGTTGTTCAGCACTTTTGAAATCAGCTCCACTGGGGATACAAATTTACTGGCACCAAAGCTTTCTAAGTAATTAACCCTTACATAAGGTTTGCTTATGTAAAAATATACTTGGATTTTTGTTGTATAATTCACTAATGACAGCTCAGAAAATAAGAAAAAAAACAACAGCAAAATGCATGCCTCATTCATGAATCCCATGGAACTTAATTTGAGGCTGGATTGTCTCTCTTTCCTCAGACTCTGAACAGGCCTGAGGTCATCCAGAGGTGGAGCAGGATGCTAATCAGAGCTAGAGGATATCACTGCACTTGACCTGGCAGGCTAAAGGCAGGGGGACTGGGAAGGTGAAGGTGGGAAGAGTCTCTCTGTATTTCATCAAATAGAAGCAGAGAAGTGGCTTAAGATGAGTTCAGCTGTGTAAGTCAATGAAGCCTCTGGAAATTCCATTACTTCAAAGGAATCAAGCTGATTGATGAATGCACTAAAATCTTCATGTGGATTAGCAGCATCCCATCCTCCCCGTAATGAAGAGTCTTATTGTTTCTGCTAGTTATAATACACATAATCCTTATAAAAATGAATCTTCAGTTATAGAAAAAAAATCAAATGTCATTTCACCTGGAGACAATTACTATTGTAATTTTTATGTTTTTACTTCCAGGTTCTTTTTTCTGTCCTTATACATAAAAATATGATCCTTGTGTTTAAAATTTACTTTTTCATTTAACAATAGTGTGGGCATTTTCACTTTCACTATGACTTATGTGTATATGCACTTATGTATAAATTATTTAAGACAAGTATTCTTAAGTATACTCAGTATTTCGTGACCCACTTTCTTTCCCATCAATTGTCTTAATGCTATCAAATTGAAAGCATTCATTGAATAATTAATAAAGATTTTCTGATAATCCAAACCTTTTGCAAAGTCAATGTATGTTTACTGTCCTCCTCGGTGATAGTTCTTCTTAAATGTTTCAGAATAAACTCTGACATACAATTATCTATGTGTTTGCTAATATTTCTTTCCAAGACAACACTTCTCCCACTTTGTAACATTAGCAGTTTCACAACATGCTGTGGGTATTAGAGACCAGCTAATTTTGGGTGGACATTCTAAATGTAAAATTTAGAAACTTAGAAAGCAAATAAAACCGATTTTGAACTATCTATGATCTTAGCTTTCAAAACTCAGATTTAAACTTTCTTGACAAAGCACAGAAAAGAGCTTCATCAGTGAGTATCTACTCATTTTAAGACTGTCTATACAGTAGGTAGACTAAATGAGATACTGCTTATGGTTTTGGATTTATCAGTAAGAACACATCTGGGAAGTAACAATGAAAATGAGCTGAGTGGTATTTTTAACGAAAGAGAATTTGCAACCCAGTGGTGAGAATGAATTTATTATTTTTATAACCTGTTGTTCCAGATGCTTTCAAAAAGGTCCAGGGACTCTCTCAGCCTGTTGGTGTTGTTATCTTCTCGAATCACCATGTTGTAGCTGCTGCAGGCAGCGACATAGATGATAGCTGTGACATCTTATTGGGAGGAGAGAGAAAAGGAAGCCAATTAGGTACACAGACAGGCGCTGTGGTGTTCTGATAAAGAACACTGCTAACTGCTACTTATCTGCATGGTCTTCCCTCTGTGATTAGGAAACTGACTGGGAAAAGCACTGTGCTTAAAAGGTTGTTTTATCATTTACCCAACCAAGAGTCTACCCGGATTAGCAAATGATACATGTAAATTCTGGATTCTTAAATTATTTACGTATGTGATTCATAATGCCTGAAGACATTTTCTAAAGGAGCTAATTCAAAGCTGCTTAAACACAACAGCAGGAGTGCGAGAATTTAACCCCATTTTCTTGAAAAGCATAGAAGTCACCATTAAAGCACTGGATCCATTTTCTTCTCTCGTCCCTCTGTCCACCGACATCAAACATGCTGTGGAAGAGCAATAGGGTGACCATTATTTGGAGGGTGAACAGAAACCATACACAAGCCTGTGCCTTCCTCTTTGACCATCTATCCCCATGACATGCGTCCTGTGTGCTCCCTGAAAACTGTTCACACTGCCACGAACTTCCGTGCCACCCTCTCGGCCCCTGGGCACACACCTGTTATTTCTCTGCGTCATCCTCACTCCACAGCCCCCAGGCTCTCCAGGCAGCCCGTGCTGTGCACTCCTATGTCTGAGCCACTGTCCCCTTCCTTCAGCGGCACCTAGCCCGGAATGGCTGAGTTTTCCCACTCTTCCAACTCCCAGATTTCTTTCTGCCCTAAACTCACTGACTATACCAGACACCAAGCTGTCTGGATTTACTCATTTGACCTTGTCATCTTCTCCTTCCTGTTGCAGTACTTGGGGGGGGGGCGGACACCCTAAGGGACTCTTGCCCATATCTCTACAGCAGGCCCTGCTCTCACCACACTCACTGAAAGTTTACTTTGTCCACTTGGAATCGTGTCTCAAAAATCCCTGAAGTCAGAACTCTGCATCTGAGAAGATCCTAAGAACAAAAAGAGAGAAGCAAAGCGAGTGACATCAGTGTTCTTCAAAAGGACAGCCCTGGCTACAAACATAGTCACAACTCGCACTGCAAAGGAAACAGCAAGAATGAAAAATCCAGACAAAAGCTCTGTGTTTCCTCCCTTCAGAGAAAGTCGATTGGGTCTTGATTTGATAACTGTGCTGCTATCTTCCTTAGGGTTTTTAAAATCACCTATGTCTGCATCCCCTGATTGTCTAACACCTGACAACCAAATTGCATGTTTCCTGGTCTGGACCTGCCCTGTGGCTGGGGAGCTGAGCCCAGGGTTCAGCAGCATCTGTGTGAGAAACCAAACTGGCATTTCTACATTCATTCATAAATCATGGACTGGATGTCAGCTGCTTTTAGATTTACCCTCTTTCCTGTGTATAGCTAGTTAAGATAACAGATGTTATGATATTAAGGGAACGAAGAAGCTGCATAATTGCATTGCTATTAGGCCCTTCCTTTCTGCCCCGAGACATTGCCAAGGAGGTGGTCACTCAGGATTATTCTGGAGGGAGGCTGTGCCCCCTTCTTGGTCTGAGGAGAAGTGCTCAGGACAGCCTGACTCTGACCAGTACGCCTTGATGACATGTTGGGAAATTTTGAGCTCTTGAAGTCAGTCTCTGAGACAGGTAGACTTCAGGGAAAGTGAAGAGCTCAGGACTCTGAGGAAGCAAGAGAGAAGAGAGTGATCAGCAGGGGCCGAGGCGGGTCCCTCGGTGGACAGGCATGGGCAGCGGAGGAGCCTCAATTCTTAGCTCTGGATATGTCGGGGGGTGGGGAGTCGGGGGTGGGTAGGTGGGTGTGTGGGGGCCTCCGGGGTAGAGGAAGGCAGAGTTCTTGTCAGTAAGTCACAGAAGGGCCCTCTCGACTCCAGACCAATATGTAGTGGACACTTCTCTGGCTGAACCCAAATGAAGCCTTCTGTATGGGTCACACCTGGAGTGTGTGCTGTGGTCCACTGCCTATCACTGAGGGAAGGGGGGGTAGCAGAGTTTCTGAAGCTGGGGTGGTAAGGGTTTTGTTTTTCTCCTGATGGCTGGAGGAGGAATGGGAGCTGCAGAATACTATTTCTTAAATAAAATAATTTAGAAAGTGGTTAGAAAGAAGTATGTTGTGGAGTGCTCAGTCAGGGCACAAGTCATGGAAAGCAACATGTACCCAGACAGGGTCGGAGCAACCTGCAAGTAGTAGTTTACTGTAAAGGTTTCCTCCTTAGTGTGTTGTAAAATAGCCACCAGACAATACTGGAGCACCCTCTCCTATGTGTGGTCACAGGCTCTGTAACAGGATGGTCCCCAGGAAAAGGGGAAGTTCCAGGTTCTCTGCCCCACCCAGAAGGACGGTGGTGCTGAGGAGAGAAGAGAAGAGAAGGAATCTGAGAAGAAGGAAGCAGGAGGGAGAGCCAGAAGGAGACCTGAGGGAGCCACATGGAGCAGAGACGTGAAGAAACTGCGTTTGTTTCTTGTTCCTGGGCTGGTTGAAATATATGTGGGTGAGAGAACCATGTGGAGATTGACGATGGCAGTGTTTGTCTTGGTTTTGATTTTGCTCTTTTCCTCCCAGACTTGTCTGACCATGTCTGACCCTTTTCTAGGGACCCCGGCCAGAAGGTGTTTAAGACTTGTGGTGGGCTTTCAGGCCTTGCTTTGGGCCAGTTCCTGTTGGGCCAGTCCCAGGGGATGGGTAACATTGGGTGGTTGATTTAGAAAATTATATTCTTTGTCTTTCCTGTATTGCACACTCATTGTATTAAAATAAAGTTCCTTTCTATTAAAACTCTTTTGTTTTGTCTTGATGCAGCGAAGGGCAGAACCTATTTAGAACAGGCAGGTTTGGGGGTCCAGGGGTGCCCCTCTCTCCCTGCCCTGTAACAGCTACACCTTTGCATACCTGGTCTGTAGGCGTGTAGTCCACCAAGCTGACACTGTCGATTCTTTCCAGGAAGCTGAAAAGGAAGCAACATGTACTCAGAAGTGTCTCATGCCTCGTAGCTGTGGGGTGAAGTCACCGGTAGGGGCAGCAGAGAAGGCCCGGGGCATTCCCCCTTTCTGTCCTAAGGAGGTCATCTCAGTAAGAAGCAGGACTAGGGAGGGTGATTTGTTTTCTTCTTGGCCTTTTGTGGAAAGTGCCAGAGGAAATCTGCGGCTCTCAGAGAAGGCTGCTGCAGAGCTCTGGCCAAATGGCAAGGCCTTTGAGAAAGGAAAGCAGTTGTGAGGTCCTCGTAGACTCTCTGGAGTTGCCACAGGAGCCTGGTAGTGCCTCTGTGACCCAGGGTGTGTGAACTGGCTCAGGGTAGAACTGGTACCTCCAGGAGCAGGAGTCTGGATGGGGCACAAAACATTTCTGGAAGTGCATCAGGAGGGGCAGCCTGGGTGCTAGAGACACAAGGGAGTCGCCCAGGCTGGGGTGTGTGTGTGTCCTGTTTGCCAGAGGTCTGGTTTGAAAACCGCAGTGCTTTTGGGCTTAGACCTTGCTGGTCTTGAATTCAGTGAAGTGCAGAGCACCTTGAAAGTACACACTGAGCTTTTAACCAAGCAAGAAAGGAGGAAAAGATTCTAATGAAGTGAGACAGGGTTCTGCCTCTGGAAAGGGAGCTCTGGACTGCAGCCCAGGCAATGGGGGGTTTCCTGTGGGGAGATAAGCTGTCTCCCAACACCTCCTGGCTGCAATCATTGCTTCACAAATTATAGAGGACATAGAATAATGAACAAGTGATAGAGAAATGAATCATCTCCAATTAAAACAGCTGAAAAGAAACTGAAAATTAAACTAAATAGGAAGCCTCTGGTTATAGTTAAAATTTAGGAAAGAACCAATTTAAAATAGGATGCACACAGGGTGGAGGTAGGTGGGTGAATTTATTCAGATGATAATAACTAATATAAGTAGAAACAATGAAATGAGGTTAACAAAAAATACATCAAAAGTTCTTGATAGATGTGATTAAAGACTGCCTTCCAAAGGAAGTGGTGGGAGTAGCTTCCTGAACATTATTAAAAATAAGTGGTTCTGAGATGCTGATGACAAAGGCAAAGATGTCAAGTTCTTTTCCTATCCCTAACCTCCAGAATGGATTCCACAATTCCTTTCATTTCTAACACTTACTGATCTAAGCCGACAGGCGAGGCATCAAAGGAGGTTTCCAGGAGTTATCTTCTAAACTGTTACTGATTCAGAATGGTATTCTAATTTCCTAGATTATAGGCCTTTGCAGTTAAAAAAATGGGAAAATTCACCTCTGAATGTGAAAGTGTGCTCCAGTTCTTTGAAATACTCTTTAAGGAATAAAGGAACTAAATAAAATTGATAGCAATAAAATTGCATCAACCTTTGTCTTTAATGTTTGGTTGAATCAGCACATTTCCCAACATACTGTAGAAGTACTTAAAATTAGAATGCCTAAGGTAATATATGGAGATGAATTTTAGAAGAGTCTTCTAAATCATACATAGAATTTCATATGACTTACATTTTAAAGGGTTAGTAACATTGTTTCCTCAAATAAACCACTGCCTGTTAAACCAGATTAACAAAATGAGGACCCCCATTATAGACTATTTGCGCATACTAGACAGAGCTGAAGACAATACTAAATTAAAGTTGTAAAAATTATTTTCAGTATGGATACTAAAGAAGAAGTTAAGAAACTATTTTACCTTTTCCCTATTTTTCCTCCTGCTATTGCCTAGGATATTCATGTTTGCAAAAGCATTTTATTTTTATCATTTAGATGTTTGATGTTGGCATAAAGTAACAATTTGTTATTTCACAGCTGCTACCTGCTACTCACTGAAGTAACTCAAAAGTCACCTGGTCATGGAATTGATCATTAAGAGGGATAAGGGGTCACAAAGGGGGATCCATATGGTCCAGCAATAAGGTATGTATCCAAATAGTAGGAAAACTTTAATATAGAAAGATTTATCTATGCCTACACACACAGCAACACTGTTCCAATTGTCAGGTAATGGAATCAACTCAAGTGTCCTCAACACATGGACAGAGAACTCAGTGGGGCACTCACAGCTGTGGACAAAGATGAAGCACCAGCATTTGGGGAAAATGGGAGGATCTCAAGGTGATTATGTTGAGTGCAATCAGTCAAAAAGTAAAAGACGGGTATCAGATAGTTTCACTCACCCTTGGAATATAAACACCCAAAGAATATTTATGTACAAAGATTAGAATATTTATACACAAAGAATAGAAGGATTGAAAGTTGAACTGGCAATCAGAAGATAATCATTACCTGGGGGAAAGGGTGAGGGATGGAGGCATGGGTGGTTTGGTGGAGGGAGAAAAAAAAATAGCAATACATAACTTTTATAAAAGGTCCTCTATCACTTTTCAAACTATAAAAGTCTGCTAGCTGGCCAGAGATACTTGTAAAAACTGTTTCTTTCCATCTCTCTCTCTATTCTAATAGTCAATCCTTTTTTGGAGCAGTTTAGAATTTAACTAATCTCTAACATGTCTCAGGTTTTAAAATCCAACAGTCCACACCTCCCTTTCTTCCAAAAAAAAGGAAAAAAAAATCCCAGAAGGAAGCATGGGAGATTAAAGTGGGTGAGACCCCTGAAAGGAAGGCTCATGTTCAGGATAATTTCTCCTTCCAGCTGATGTTAGGACATATGACAATTGTGTTTACGTGTCTATCTCATTAATAGGATTTTTGAAGATTTCTGTCTCTCTTAGCATATAAGGAATTGTACTGAAAAGTAAGTTATTATAATAATAGTAATTGAAAGCTCAGCTTTGATCAAAAAGACCTCAATTCAAATCCTGATGCGCCACTCACTAAAGTTACACTGCTGATGAGATCACTCACCCCTTACTTCCAGATTCTTCTATGTTACAAAGATGTTAAGAGGATTAAATGAGACAGTCACATAATATGGACTATTACCAGAGCAAAAATGAGATTTTATTGTATTACTGTTCATTTCTAACTAATTTCAGATGGAAGAACATGCCTAGTTTCTCAAAACTGATTAATAGCTACTATGTGCATAGCACCAAGCCAGACATTTAGAACTTACAAAAAAAGATAACTACCTTTAAATACCTTTTAAGAACTGGTAACTTTTGAACAACCGGTACTGAGAAAACAGCATTTAATTAGGGTGGATTTAAAAATATACAGCAAGTTGTGACTGACAAGGCAAGTAAAAACTTTTCTCAGTGTATAACCCACATTTAACTCATGAGTTTATTTATGTGATATAAAAACATTGGTGAAGAAAAATACTACTCATAGTGACAAAGTCCAGGCAGTTCTAATGTGAAGCAGATTAAGATCCTGCCACTTAAAAGATGCCCAGACCAGCTGCAAGAAACTTCCAGAATCAGGCAGGGCTGGTAGCTGAACCCCAAGAGCAGGTGATTACCTCAGGATCCCCAGGTGACAGCGCACCTCAGCACTGCTCAGGCGCTGTGCCTTTGCTCTGTTTCTGCTGTGATCTGATCTCTCTCCACCTGGACAACACTTTCTGATGATTCATCCTCCTGCAATTTTCCTCTGGGGAAAGTCCACACTTTTAATCAGGTTTCAGCTCCAGTCAAATATCCAAGTCATTTTAGGCCTCTCTCACTTTTGTGCAATTCTCACTTAATAGTAATTAAAAAAAAAAAAGAGCCTCCAAGATGCTAACAACCACATATGCTGTCCTCCTATCATCCTGTATTTACTATGTCCAGGATTCAGTGATCATGGGGAAGTTGAAGAATAAAATATTTAGTATGTCAAGTCACTAGACTTCAGTACCCATCTTGATGGCTTTTTTGCATATCTGCTGCACCCCTGGCTGTTTCTTTGTGTGTGCGCTCTACTTACTCCCTCTCTGAATGCCACTGACTTCAGAAATGGGCTTTTGATCTCTAGAAAGAAGCCCCAAGTTCAGCACCTGATATATTTTAGGCTAAACCTTTTAGTCATTCTGAGTAAATACTGCTAACCTATCTGTTCTACACTATTCAGGAGGGAGAGGGCAGGGGCAGATGGTTTAACTTACAGATGCCCACACACAACAGGCTCTGGCTGAGCACCCCCTGCAGCCATCTTGCCACCTGAGATCATCTCTGCGTCATCAGAGAACACCACGCATAATCTCGAGTGAGGGCACCAACTATGCATTCACACTGGACTTGGGACCAGGAGTCCACTGTGCTGCTGTGTCACAGCAGGCCAGACACTAACCATGGCCTGCTATCTATGTGTAGGGTCATCAGAAATCATCAGGTTTTTTCTGCTCTCCTGCCATTAGCATCAGTGATTGACACCTGTGGTCTGACACGCGTGCTTGATGGTGGCACCTGCAGTGTGGTGTGGGTGTGTTTGAGTGGGCGCCCCTGAGCCAGAGGCATATAAGGGTGCATTACAGCAGAGCCAGCAGAGAACAGAGCGTGGAGGACTGTGCAGCGGAGAGCAGTGGAAACCAGCAAGAGATCACAAGAGAATGCCTGAGAGCTCGGAAAGAGTGAAGATCCACCGGGCCCCCTGCCTGCCCTGCACGTGGTTGCCTCACTACAAGTGGTGCAGAAAGATCTTTAGAAGTCAGAATGCCCCTGAGGGCTCCAGGGCGCTCCTTTAACTATCTGCCTAGGTCCACAGAGAACCTGATCTGTGCCTAGCTGGTACTACAGTATGAAACACAGCATTACTTGTTGATAAACAATTCTAGATCAACCAGGCATTTTACTAATACCAATCACTGCTTAAAATTAAAAAAAAAAAAAAGTGTCGACCAGTTTGTTTAATATGCACTGATTTGTACCTCTGCTAATACTACTGGGGTTTTAGATTTTGGCTACAGGTACACTCTCAAGAGAGTGTTGTGTGTACATCAAACTCTTTATTTCACAATGTGAGACTGACAGCTAACGCTGAGACTATGTTCAATCAGTAAGGTTATCAGACCGGTGTGTTGGTGGCCCTTGTCCAAATCAAAGAGCAATGTGGGTAGTGGCCAAGCCTCACAGCATGCCTGTCTAAAAGGCTTACATACTACTTCAGGGGCAAACAGCTCTCGTCAGGCAGTTCTCCAACAGTGCACATAGTTTGTGAACAAACAAACTAGTTTATAAAATATATTGATTGTGCATCCTAAGTCCATGGCCAGAATTGTGCCTTTAAAAGAAGAAAAATAAAAAAAAAAAAATTATACTAGTAGTCACATATCCGGATGACTGGTATGTTTTGTATGCTTGAGTTGGATACTTTTGCAAATTATATTCAGCTTTGCCCTAGGGAAGTTTCAATATGAAAAAGAAGCTTGCTGCCATAAAGAAACTATCACAATAAAGTAGTATTATCTAGGGCTTCTAAAAATATACAAGAAAATGTTACAGTAAACAGATATTCAGGTGTTAAGGGTGACTACAGAAAAACACTGTACTTTGAACCAAATCTATGAATTTTTTCTCAAATAACTTTTCAACAGGACACACACTCAGATGCAGGAACATATAGTTTTAAATGATTTATTTGACAAACTTCTATGCTTTACATTTCAGCATTTCATCAACTGCAATAGTGAGGAAATAATTCATGGGCCTGGTATGCTTCTGAAAATAATATTTATGGTTCATAAAATGTACATTCATATTAATTTGAAATGAATAGATCTTAAGAAAATTCAAGCATATACAAGCATTGTTTAATCTCACAAAATATATTACTTTTGTTAGGACTGTTTGCACTATAAAAGGGTCTTTGATTTGCCAAAGGCTCCAACACTAAGCTATCTTTTAAGTTGTAACTGTTGTTTTCACTCTAAAAGGGGGAATCACAACTCCTGCTGTGTTCACACAGCTGTCTCTGTGCAATCATGTGGAGGAGAGCAGACAAGTCTGAGAAAGATGCTGGGTGTCCTTTACAGACAGAAGATGCTGAAACAACATCCAGTCATATAAAAGAACACTTAATGTGAAATGAGTCCTCATTGCCTGACACCTGTTCATTTTTTAACCAAACTCATTCGCACTTGGAAAACATGAAACAGTGAAACTTGGTTATGAATCTTTCAGAGGGCTTGGGAGAACCCCTATAGTTGTTTTCTGAAATACTGGAACTCTCTGAGAAATTTTCAGTAAAATGAAAAAGGAGAATTTTAAAAATTCCTTAAGTATTTAACTTAGACAATATACTTGCAAAGGCAAAAGCCAAGTCTCTGTTCTCCATGTCTTGAGGATACAAAAAAGTGGTGGTTATACTTTTTCGCTTGCTGTTTAAAAAAAAATGGAAGGCAACAGAGTGGGGCTCTTGCCTCAGAGGGTCACACCTGCTTTCTAATCCTACCTACATCCTTCTTCCCAGAATTCCAGCTGGTCCATTTGTAATCATTATTTTCATGGCTACATGAGGGATTCCAATTATAATCCCAGTATTTTTTAAGACTTGTTGCTTTAACACAAAATAATACATGCAAATATCTGAACTTAAAATACAGTCCTAATTTTATTTCTATTTTTGGCTGCTAAAATCTTAACAAAAGCTACAACACAGTGCCAGGCTTTTCTCAAACCAATCAACAGTTCTTTGGTAGTGTTGGAATGAGTAATGTGACTGCCATGCTAACAAGCACACTTGACAGGCAGTCTAAAGTGTTGAAATAAGACAGTAATTAGAAATATGTTAGAGGTCACTTGAAAGAAATTGTCATGTTAAATCCTTTCTTTTAAAAAGCTCTTTATGTAAGCAAACAATTTTTCCTTAAAACAAATGGAACCCGTGTGGCATTTTTCCAGCTATAAAAAGAAAACCACCACAAAAATTTACAGAATGTAAACAGTAAGCACTACTGAAAAATGTCTGTCCTAAGGTAATTTTACCAAAATTACAACAGATTAAGTCAACTTGATGTCAAAAGAAACAGAACTGTCCATTAAATAAGCTGAACGGAGAGTTCACAGTCCTGTAATCAAACTAAACAATCATTTCCCTCCTTTTAATTTTTATGTTCTACTTGGCAATTCTATGTATCATTAGTTACACATTAAAAAATAAAACACTTCAAGTTCGCTAATTCAGGCAGAAAACTGAATACAGGAGAACGAGAGTTTTGACCATTTTTTGAAAGACTCACATACACCAATTCAGCTAGTTCTGTTAAAAGGCAGTTATAAAAATACACACCATCACAAGCTATACAGAACTTTAAAATACAGGTAGGAGTGGAGAACTCCCAGAATTTCTTAATGTATCTGGAGCGCACTGTAAACCCAAGTAGAAGCATTTCAGCTTTCTGGCATCTTCAGAGTTTCTAGTGTATATAGTATTCCCCTAATATCCACAGAGCATTTCAGAAGGTGGAGATGGCCAGAAAACCTCAGGGTAGGTTTCGTCATCACACTTGATCCCGCAGGCGGGCCAGTCTCTGCGATAGTTCATCCTGCTCGGCTGACGCCACACTCGTGCCCACGGAGCCGGTCTGCCCCTGCGGCAGCTCCATGTTGAGGTCGAGGCCGGCCTCGTCTGCCATTTCCTGGAGCAGCATATCAACTTGGTTCTGGGGAGTGGTCAGCGTCGTCGTGCTGCTCATCGTGTCTTCCATCTGCTGCGTCTGGACATCCAGCGTCTCAAACTGGTGTTCGAATTTGTCCATCAAGGCAGAAATTTTCTCCAGATTCATGGTCTTCAACGTCGCGTCCATTGACTTCACTACACCGGCCATCGACTTGGTCACCTTGCCCATCGTCACCGCCGTCTGGACTCTGGCAGCCACCGCGTCAACCCGTGCACTCATTCTCAAGAAATTCACTGCTTGGTTCTTTTGGCGGATGGCATTTTCGGCGTGTATCCTGGCAACTTCCATGTTGCCCTTCTGAATGGCCTTTTTAATTTTGGCCTTTTCGGCCTTTTCCTCCTTATCGCATTTTTTGGCACTCCGGCTCAGCTCTTTGGCCGCGAACTTCAGGTTGAACAGGTGTTTCTCCATGTTGGACATGGTCAGACAGTTCCCCCGGGTCGGTGGCCAGGGCTCAGACGCGCGCGGAAGGGACGCGGTAAGAGGGAGGTCCGTTCCCGGCCGCCGCTCCTTTGTTTTGATCCCACTTCCTGTTTCTGCGGAGCACGGCGCAGGGGTGACGTCAGAGCCCAGCGCCGGGGCGGGTGGAGGGAAGGGAGAGGCCCTCGGGACTGCCGGCGCCCTACCCCTCGGGACGCACGGCGCCAAAGGGCGGAGCCGCGGGACGCACGGCGCCAAGGGGCGGAGCTGTGGGACGGACGTCGCCTGGGGTCACCCCATAAGGCCGCTGGGGCGAGCCATCGGTCCCTACCCCGACGGCCTTGGGTGTCGCCTGAGTAGCCGCAGAGCTCGTTTTCGATGTTTAGTTGCTGCCAGTCTTTATTTAGATGTCAGTAAATTAACAAAAATTGTCTACACATCCAGGTATACACATCCAGGTAGCTGAGGTGGACTGATGGGTCTAGCGCTGCACGTAAAAATATTTGGACTCCAGACTTGGTCGTGTTAGGATGTCTGGCTAGTGGGCTAAACACTAAAGGTCTGCAGAATAAATATTTCTTTGCTTTTTTTTTGTGGGGGGGGGGCATGGGCCACTTTCATGTTTTTAGGGGAACATGAAAAGCTTGGAGCACGAATACTTTAAAAAACAACAACAAAGGCCTCTCTGGTGATGCAAAGGGTTAAGTCTGAGCACTATCATGCTATCAGCAGCCACTGCAGCACCAGTTGATTCCCAGCCAGGGGGCGGACCCTCATGGCACAACAGACCTCTCCTGTCTCCCCCACTGCTCCCCTCAGCAGTGTATTTCAGTCAATCTGCCTGTTGTGCTCCCCACTCTGCCTCTGGTGATTCCTCTCGCCCCCCTCCCCCCCCCTACATCCCAGCTCTTGTGTGGCTAAATAAATGATTTTTTAAAGACAAACAAAATAAAAGCTGTAGCATGGACCCGCATCTTTGACTCCATGAAAATAACTTCCACACTGTGGATTCCTGCATTTTACCTGCAATGGGAAGTTCAGCTTGCCAGTCACCAACAACTATCATCTGAAAATCCTCCTATGGTTTAGCAGTGAAGAGACCCATTTTTTGCTGACATGATTCCATCTATTTGATATTTTATAAATATCCAGAAACTTCACTCACATCTGACAGGTTAAATTGTCATTTAAAATTATGCAGGCAGAGAATCAAGTATTGAGACCCACACCCATTAGCATACATCAAAACTCTCACTATGAACTACACCCTTCAAAAACACAGGCTTTTTACATGGCAACGATATGTACTGTGGCTTTTTTTTCTTTTAGAATGCTCTACAGCAATAACAAAACAGGAATGTGCCTCCATAATGAGCCATCTTGAAAATGTATACTGAAAAGCTGATTCTGGTTGGTGATAACTGGAGTCCAGATTCCAACTATCCTTTCTCCCTCTGTGGTAACTGAAGGAAAGCAGTTTGGCTTACTTTGCAATTCTGGGCCCCAGCTGATAAGGAGGCGCCCATGGCCTTGGGTCTGGCTGTCTCCACCACCATATATGACTATAGAACCAATACCCCCTGCTTATAGGCTCTTTTCCCGTAAATAATTTTTTCATTACTCTCCGCCTGCCTAGCCGGGGCCTGGCCAATGGGTATAGGCCATGGTATCCCTTTTTTTTTTAGTGTATATAAGCTCAGTTCTGAAATAAAGACTTGTACTTCTTGGTGAACAGACTCACGGCGTCCATCCTTTCCTTTCAGTAACTTGCTAACATTCTTGCACCACAATAAAAGAAGTGCCATTATCGCACGTATCTCTTAAAACAGAGCTCTGACTGTATCACTCTTAGTCCAAAACCTGGGCAAAAGGCTGAAGTTTCCCCCTTCTCTATGTGCTAGTTGAACCAAACTGACATGTGAAAACTGAACATCATTTACGCCATCTAATCAATGCAGCAAAGGATGCTCCTCCCTCATGGGAGGCTGATCCTGCCTGGGCATACACCCCACCAGGTTCTCTGTTTATTGAGACCCTGCCCACTTCCTCCAGGAAGTCTCCCACGACCACCTCTTCCTTTGTGCTGGTCCCATACTCTGCCCCTTTGCCACAGCACACAGGGCAAACCATGTGGTATAAGGTCTGCAGGCACAGATCATCTATATGTGCTCAGCAGAAGCAGAGGGCAGTCTTACACCGCCTTTCTGACAGGACCCAATAAGCATAGTGTACATAATAGGCTCTACATTCAATAAGGTTTTGCTGAATTGAACTGTGGTTGAACTGAGCCTAGGACATTACCCTCAGAAGCATCTTAGCCAAGATTACATTTTTTTTTTCTGAAGAAGAACTCTTTCTTCACATCAGAAATTTCTAGAAACAAAAGATCAACCAATAAAAGGGAGGAAATGTGTTGAAGTGGTGCTCCAGGCAATGGACCCTTCTCAGCTTTCTTGTGGTTTACAATCCAGTTCTTTCTCCATGTTCTATGTCCTGTTCCACAGTTTGCTTAATGAAAAATTCTAGTTAGATAAAAGGGTCTGCTAATATCACCCCCCTCATCCTCACAAACCCTATGAATCAGGTACCAACAACACCTCCAAGTTACAGATGAGGAAATGGAAGCGGAGGGCTAGGCAGTTCGCCTGCTACCACACATCTACTGTGTGAGAAACAGCACCAGTAATAAAACAATGGGATATCCATCACGTTAGCAAGAATAAAAGGCTCTCTTTGGGTTGACTTAGCAGTTGTTCTTCTGAGAAGACTGAAGAGTTACATTGACTGCAAGGTTAATATGAGCTAAAGCAAGGAAATTAACATCCCTGGGTGCTACATTCTTGGAATGCATTTCTTGTCTGAGAATGGGGTGGGGTTCTAGAAGAATTCTAGCAGTGCAAACTCAGACATAAGAGGAGGGCTGACCTTTGGCACCCTCTCTTTAAGCACAGGGTAGTAGTGTTTCTGAGTTCTGTGCCTTTCTTCTATGGGTTAGCCATACTTATTGTGTTCAATGATCTACAACTAACAATTCTCATTTTTATATTTCTAGAGCAAGGTTCTTTTTAGCACTAATATTCTCAACTGTCTCTTGAAACTGGAAAATCTGTGGTATGAGAGTCCTCTAACTTCTATTTTTTACATTTCATCCAGGACAAAAACCTTTAGGACCGGTTTTAAATTAATATACGGTCTTTTTCTTATAGTTAAGCAAATGGGAAGTTATTTGGGGCATATGAAAAATTCTCAAAGGAGACTTTCGCCTTTGATCACACATGAAAACCTTCTAGACGCAATCTATGGTGTAAAAAGGGAATATACAATTTATAATCACGGGAATAGCCAGAACTTATGCAATAACACTGTTGCCTTATAACGGGCATAGTGTGAACAATGTTTATTTAGGAGCTGTAAAAAAAATTTTGATAGATGTAAAATGATTTTTGTGTGTGTGTGTTAAAATAAATGGATTCTTGGACCCTCCCTGGTGGCACAGTGGGTTAAAGCACAGCACTAAGAAGCTAAAGCCACTTTAGCATGAGTTCAATCCCCATCATGGAAGTGATCCACATGGCGCGGCAGGCTTCTCCTGAGGGAAGCTGCTTCCCTCAGCAGTGTACTTCACCAGTCAGCCTGATTTGCTCCCCACTCTGTCTCTGGTGAATCTTCTCACCGCCCCTGCACTTCTGGCCTGTAACCCAGCATAAATAAATAAATCTTTAAAAAAAAATGAATTCTCATTGGTAGGTTTTGAGTAGTTTGGAAATATTATACCTGGAATTCTCATTCAGAGCCCCTCCTCACTGCAATTTGTATCTCTGTATATATTTGGGTTGACTTGATCAGTAGGAATCTATCCTTTCAGATCTTTCCATTTTGTAATTTTATCTCAATATCTCTAATCTGATATTAGGCAATCTCTCAAACACACAGATGTTCAAATTTTTGTCGAATGTTTGAATACAACCAAAGGAAATGGTGTTGAGTATATATGTGCTTGGTGGTCATCTCAAGGAACACTATATATGCATGCATATAGTATATACAGTATATATTATATATAGAATACATATATATCCAGATATACACATACAGTATATACATATACTGTATGCAGTATATGTTATATTATATGCAGTATATATATAATATATGCAGTATATATATCATGTATATTATATGTGGTATATATATAGTATATATTATATGTAGTATATATATATGTGGATATATACAAATTTTTCTCTCTTACCTTCTAATTTAGGAACAGAGCTATAATTTAAAAATCCAAGAATACTCAAACATTGGAACATTGCAAATTTATTGTCCTTCAAATCAATGTTTGTTCATGTGACTAGACTAGGCCAGTGTTGTTCTTGGGTCTTAGTTTCTTAATTTATAAAATCGTAAAGAGAGACCCTATGATCTAATAGGTAGTGATAACGCCTCTATCAGGTCTTGGCACCAGGGAAAGCTGATTAAAACCACTGAATTTTAAAAGCACTGGACAAGATAATTCAGGCAAAGTCTCAAAACTGTGTTTTGGCAAAGTGTGAAGAACTATAATACACTGTTGGTGGTAGTAGCAGTAGATACTATCTCTTTGTGGAATAATTAGCATTCAAATAAAGTTAGAATATTCAGCCTCTGTAAGCTCCAATACCCACTGTTGACTATACATCCTAAAGAAACATGTACACATATCTGGGGATACAAAACCAGATGCCCAGAATGCCTATTATCTGTCACAGAGAAAAACCGGAAACAACTCTATTGTCCATGAACAGAATAGGAAAATAAGTTGTAGTATATTTTTATAACCAAATGCTAAATAGTAGTGAAAATAAATGCAACCATGCTCATAAATCTTATACAATTAATTTGAGCAAAAGAAAGACTCAAAATATTATATACACTGCATAATTTCATTAAAAATCACTGAAACAAACTGTGCGGAGTCATTGTAAAATTTACCAATGGAGAAAATGTATTATTAAAATTCTTTTTTTTCCCACCCAGAATGTTTGCAAATCTCATAGGGAACACATTGAGGAGATTCTGCAAAAACAAAGAAGTCAGGCCGTGTCAATTTCTATATTATGCCTGCTTTTACAAGGTATCTTACAGAAAGAAAATCAATTCCTTTGTTGAATTACTGCCTCAAAGGTA